CATAATTTTTAAATTATGCATATCGCTGTCTCTTCACTGCCTGCAGCACCAAATCCAAACTCTTTGGAGTGATAAACGAGACTCTCCGTGATCTGGTCCCTCCTGCCTCTCTGACTCTGGCAGGAACCATTTCTCCAGCCTGGTCCAGTGAGCCCATGGAGTGGGTGTGTGTTCTCAGGCTTTTTCTGCTTCGAGTGCCCTTCCCACCTCTTCTTTCTCTGTTGAACTTCTACTTATCCTTTATGATGCAGCTTCAATTTCATTTCTTCCTTCTCATATCCTTCTCTTTCCTCATCTTTCTGGCCTAGCTGCCCAAATATGTGCTCACCCCATCATAAGTCCTTAAAAGGTATGGCAGTAGTCTGCCGTAATCATCCCCCTGGATAAACCATGAGCTCCTGAGGGGCAGAGGTGACATTTGTCATCATTACCTCCCCAGGGAGCATGGCGTACGGCAGGTGTCACAGGCAGTGCTCAACAATATTACCTGACAGACAAAATGAGTTGAATTTGAATTTCATCCAGCTACCTGCCACTCACATAAACCTTCACTTAATATTTATTAAGCTCTACTAAGGACAATGTAATGTGCTAAGGGCAGGGGATGCAGAAATTTCAAGATGAAGATACCACAGCTTCCAGAATAGAGGTAAGTACAAGTAAGTGCAGGAAGCAGTTGCTTTTTACTGATGAGATATAAGGAGACATTTGATTTGAACCTTAAGAGATGAACAGAATTTCATCAGTTCAGAGACCAGAGAAGCATTCAAGGCCATGGAACTGAAGGGTGGAAACAGATGAACTTAAATGTTCATAAAAAGAATATGCACTCATTTAAAACATGCAAACAATACAAAGGTATTTTGTCATCACTCCCCAGTCCCACACTCAGAGTGGAGTTCTCACACATTTCATATAGACATATATAGTATATGTTTTTGATTATGTGCAATTTTTGCTTTACAAGAATTGGATGACACTGCTTATGTTTTCTGCAACTTGATTTTTGACTCATATCACAGACTACTTTCTGTGTCACTACACCCAAATTAATGAACCTTTAGGCCATACTTTGGTATGGCTGAATGCCCAGGAAATAATTATGCTTTTTGACAGAATGGTGAAAATAAACTTAATTGATTTTATTGTTCTATATGGTTTATGCACACAGGCATATGGACGCTCATGTGAAAAGAAACCACCTATATTTTTACCCAGGATATGCATCAGAAAGTGTCAGACCCACCCAAGGAAACTATTCTTTTGCTTCTTTTCATTCTAAGGATTTTATAAATTTCTCTCTTAGATTTATATCAGGCTTTATGAACATTGCAGTCACATTGCAGGAAGGCTGAGAAAAGAGAAGGGCTATGACTTTTATGAGACTAAACAGGCAAAAACTAACATCAACATGTCGGGGTCAGCAGCTCAACCAGCACTACACAATGAGAGGGTTTCATGTGAATAGTGATGAAACAGACACATTTCATTTCTCATTTCCTTAATTTGTTGGTGTTTGCCTCAGCGAGATGATAGAATGACTGTCCAATCTCTTTAAAGCATTGGTTTCTTTTGAAAGGAAAAAGAGAACATGTACTATTGGGAACTATTTATGTTGTATTTTCTCTTCTGCTGAAATGAAAGTCTTATATTCTGATAACACCTGTAGGCTTCTAGAATATCAGAATAACAGTAAAATTTTGTGCATAAAAGCAAAAACATTCTGCTGAAAAGTAAGTCAAGGTAAACAATTCTTTCACAAAACAAGAATCCTCTAAATTTTACCCTTTACCCAACGCATTCAGTTGAACCATAAAAAACTGCTAATATTCAATCATTTTTTTTTTACCAGAAACAATGGCAATTTAATACAGTTCAAAGTAATACACCTATGAAAAATAAAGCTATTAAAATTAAGGCCATTTGATAGACACTTCTGTTTTTAAATGACTAGCTGAGACAGTCTGCTTAAGGTAGAACTTTGCAGAGAACAAACCCGAAGCCTGACCTTGCTGTGCACTTTTCCATGCAAAATGCACCTACACGTACACTTGACTATTCAGAGAGTGAGTGTGGCACACAAGAGTTCACATGAAGTACCCAGAACGTTAGTCCATGAGAGAAAATGTGTGGATGTGGTTGTGTCAATATGCTTTCATTAGTAGTGTAGCAAACTTAGAAAAGAAATTTCCCTTCTAAGATGGTTAGTGTTTTCCCATGATAAACACGTAGGAGTTGGCTAAGCACACACACGTGTCTGCCAACAGGCAGCCTGTGGTGTGGCCCAAGCTCTGGCCCCTGACCCTGTACGTGTGACTATGTCAGTCAACCTCTCTGGGTCAATTCCTCCCTGAGGGAGACCCACCTAGGTGATTTCTAGAGTTTCTTGCAGTTTTAAAATCCTGGGTTATCTGTGTAATTCATTCCTTTTGTCAACGTGATGCTCTGGGGCTGCTTCAGCCACAGACTTGCCTCATGGCCATGTGGGCTATTGCTCATTCCTCTGTCTTAGCAATGTGCACTTGCAACAACAACAGAAAGAAGCGGAAATAAAATGCTGAGCTTTGCCTGGTGTAGATGGATCAGAGCAAGACTGTATGTACAAGGTCGACAGGCCACGATATGCAGAACTCATCCTCAGGGCTCAGGATATAATTTCTATCATTTACAAAAACTGAGGTGGTGGGGGCTGTTCCAGAAAGAAGAGAGCAAAGAAAAGTAATCCAAAAGCCTGCGGGCTCACAGGGTGGCAGTCTGGGAGAGCTCACTGGGCAGCCAGGGTCTCACCTAGACTTCAGCCCCTTTCACAGGTGTCAGTGACAACTGCTCCTACTGCGTTCACTCCTGGGGGCTGTTGTGTCCAGAACGGACCTTCCTCCTAGGGTCAAGTGTGTGTCTGCTCCCCTGGGTCTGTCATTCAAAGTTGAAAAAGAAGGTTTGACTTCCCTCCTACTGCCCCTCACACGCTCTAGGGGCAGTGCCAGGCTCGGATGGAGCCAGTAGAGGTAACAGCTGCACCTGAGTATTTCCCCCAAAATTCTTCACTTGTCATTGTACCTCAACTTCTGATTAGGGATTTATTTGTTTAACTAGTACAGTTAATCTGAAGCCAGCAACCACTCTCACTTTGGTGTGGTCAGCAAGCTTTCCTCTGAACACTTCCCTAAGGCTAGGTTGACCTGTGGGCACCAAAGGGGGCAAGTGTGTGTGGGATCAAGGAGTGGAAGAGGGCAGGCAGGGCTCGCTGCAATGAGGGGTCAGCAGTGGGGTATCGCTCTATGGAGAGAAAAGGAGATTCAAGACTGTGACAAAGATAAACTTGATTTATTAGGACATTTTGATCATTGTCAGCCCTGCAAGCTTTGTAGTCCTAGAAAAATAACCAGCAACCATGACAGGATGTGAAACACACAAAGAAATAAACAAAATCATTTAGGACCAGTCAGTTCTGGAGCAGATTCTGATAAGAAATATTTATTCTTAGTTTCTCGCGTTCATGGCTGCCATTTGCAGCTGAGCCACTAGGTGTCAACAGAGCACTGTGCTCGTATATGGTCTGACCGTCAAACTCTCCTGTCACCTGGAAGGATACGTTGTTATTATTATTACTGCTATTTTTTTTTAAAGGAAGATTAGCCCTGAGCTAACATCTGCTGCCAATCCTCCTTTTGCTGAGGAAGACTGGCCCTGACCTAACATCTGTGCCCATCTTCCTCTAATTTATATGGGGGATGCCTACCACAGCATGGCTTGCCAAGCGGTGCCATGTCTGCACCCGGGATCCGAACCAGCGAACCCTGGCCACCGAAGGGGAATGTGTGCACTTAACCGCTGTGCCACCAGGCTGGCCTCAAACTATTATTTTTTAAATAGGAGTTTTGTGATTTCTTCTTCTCATGTCGTGTTTTCTTGTAGTCATTTCAGTGTAGTATTTTTATTTGTTTTCTCCCATGGGTGAGACTATCATATAGAAAACGGTTGGAAGGACTTTTGACAACGATTCCTTGCCCAGATTCCTCCTCTCGTTAGTTCAGATCGCAGCCTGAGTCATTGCTGGTGCAGGTGGATGCCATAACTGGACCTTCAAGGCTCTTCTCTCAGAAAGTAATTGTTTTTTAAACAAAGTCATTTGCCACCAAATTTTAACATGAATTTAAAAGGGAAAATTTTGTGAATAGCCTAAGTATTAAACGAATGAGGGAGAACATAAAATATATTTAGTTGACACAGTATTTATTTTAGTTCCCTATTTATTCACTAAATAAGTATAGCTTGAGTTTACTTTGAGCAACCAGGATTAAAAGAAATCATAATAGACCCAGCATGAATTGGCAATCAGAGCTAATAAAAACTTAATGCACTGTCTTTCCCCCAATTATCTTTTTTTAAAAAACAGGTTTATTGAGGCATAATTTACATACCATAAACTTCACCCATTTGAAGTGTATAACTAAGTCATCACCACAATACAGTTTTAGAACATTTCCATCACCCCCAAAAGACCCCTCATGCCCATTGGCGCCCAATTACTTTTTAAATTTGATTGTTGCAGGAAGATACACTTGCATAAAATTATTTAATATTTAATTTGTTTAGTGGAAGGAAACGTTTCTCTTCCCTTTGAGAATGTATCCCCAAATTACGTGCTCAAATTTTGATCATAGCCCTTCATCACACACCATCTGCTCTAACCAACAGATTTCTCTCGTCTCCACAGTATGCGAGGTTAATTCACCCCTCTGGCTCTTTGCTCCCCCAAGTTCCCTTTTCTAGAGCCGTGGTTTATCCAATTCACTATCCAAATCTCTCCATCTTTTAAGCCGGAGTTCAGATTGCATCGTCTGCCTGAAGCCTCGGCGCCTGTGCTGACTCCCGACCCTCCCCACCTCCTTGCCTCTGGTTTGTAGACTCTGTTTTGTAGAACCTGAGTGTATTTCCTTTCGCTACAATGTAGCTTTGACTGCTTTGAGTTTGGGTTGATAGATACACTCTTTCTCTAGCAGCCCGACCTCTGGTGCTCCACTCAAGAAACCTGAGTTGACTGACCAATTGATTGCAGAGCCGCAGAAGGAAAATGGTGACAAGAGGGGAAGTGGTTGACACGGCAGAATTGCAGTCAAGGTAAGCTCAAAATTAGAGGGACAAATCAATCCGCATGCTCAGTGATCTTCTAAAGTAGAAAGGAGTGAGAAGGGAAATGAAATGTATTGAGGGACTATTTGCCAAATAACTTTTTTCATACAGTATTTTGTGTAATTCTAACAAATTTGCAGGTGAGATAACTGGGGCTCAGAGAAACTAAGAAACATGACCAAGACCACACAGCTTTAAAAGAAGTCAAACTTCAAACCCAGGCCTGGCATTTTGCACACCCCTTCCATGCCTCATGTGCACCTTCCCCTCAGTGACAATCCCCAGGCTCTCAAGAAGAGAGAAGCTATCCATCAACTCCCCATAACTAGAGTTTACCTGGGAAATCACCCCTGAGAAGCTGGGGTTTGGGCTCTGTAAGGTCACTCTGTGCCCTACTATAGTGGAAAGCCACTGGGAATGAGAATAATCAATAACTATCGTACAAAATAAAGTGAGATGGTTACCACAGGTGATATTCAAATGCCATAGGGATTCAAGGGAGAGAGAGTCATCTCCCATTGGGAGAAAACGAAAAGCTTGATGGAAAATGTGGTGTTTGAGATAAATCTTGAAGATTGGAAAGACAATTCAAGCTGTGGAAACAGCATGTACAAAGGGGACTGTGCAGAAAGAATGAATGAAGCTGGGCTGAGATCGCTCTCCTTATAGAGGCTCGCTTTCAAGGCTGACGCTTGGCTGGTGTCTGGGAAATTAACAGGTAAACAGTTCCCTTCATTAATGCGAAATTTTCCCTAAATGATAAGAGTGGCTCACTGTGCCTAGGTTGTTTGTGCAAACAATGCGGTTTATGCTGATTACCTGCTTTCTTTCTGGGAATCTGGAATTTTGTTACATGCTAGGCAGAGGGTGCCTATGTGACCAGCACCTGATGCAAATCTTGGACACTGAGTCTCTATGAGCTTCCCTGGCAAACATGTCATCACACTGACTGCTGGAGGAATTAGTGGATCCTGTGTCTACACTGGAAGAGGACTCTTGGAAGCTTATGCTTGGTTTCCTCCAGGCTTTGCCCCACGTGCCTTTTCCCTTTGCTGATCTTGCTTTGTATTCTTTCCTTATAATAAATCTTAGCCATGAGTATGATTATATACTGAGTTCTGTGTGCATTCCTAGCAAGCCACTGAACCTGGGGACTGTCCTGGGGACCTCTGACACAGTGGCAGAATTGGAAGACATTGGCATTTAAAGAGTGGCAAGGTCTGACTGCAGTGTAGGGTGTCCATGGGGAGAAAAGGCAGGAAAGGTAGACTGAGGTCAGCTACTTGCCAGCATCTTTCTGTTTTTGATTTTAAACTTATTTCATTTTGCTCAGAGAACACACTTTGTATGATTCTAATTCTTTTAAAAATGTGGAATTTCTTCCCATGATATGGTCCAGGACATGGTGTCTCTTACTGAGTGTACCATATCCACTTGAGAAGAATGTGCATTCTTTTCCTATTGGGTGGAGTGTCCTATAAATGTCAGATCCAGTTGGTTGATGGTTTTGTTCGGTTCTTCTATATTTTTGCTGATTTTCTGTCAACTTGATCTATCAATTACTGGGAGAAGCGTTTTGAGGTCTCCAACTTTAATTTGTTGATTTTCCTTTCAATTGTATCATCTTTTGCATCATCTATTTTCTGGTTAGCTTGTTAGAGCATGCACATGTTACAATGTGTATGAACAGTTATATCTTCTTGGTGAATTATCTATCTTATCACTATGTTGTCAACTTAAAAAGCAAATTTTCCTGTTATTTTATCTCAAAATGCGGTTATTTGAGAATAGCCAAAAGAATTGCAATTCAGGATGTGAATGCTATGGCAAACTGTGGACAAATCCAGACAACGAAGCAGCGGAGCTGCCTTTATAGAGAAAAAAGGGAGTAGGGAGGGGCTGTTGTAAGGTAAAGTCCACTGGGGGAGAGTAACAGTTCAGAGGGGCAATGGCTTCCCATTGCCTGGGCTGTGTCTGGGTGGGCAGAGAAATCTTCCCTCAGTAGTAAAGTAGTTTTACTCCCTGCTGGACATTCAAGCAAGTGTCCCTCTCTTCCTGTTTGTGTAATTCATGTGTGATAGGGTGTGAGAGCTCCCACTACAGGCCTTTCAGAGTCCAATTTAGTTAAGGTTTCTTTTATTAATTTCCACAGTGTAATTAATGTCCCTCTTTATCCCTGGAAATTTTCCTTGCTAAGGAGCCTACTTTTTCTGATATGAGTAAATTCATTCCAGCTTTATTTTGATTAGTATATGCATGGTACACTTTTTCAACCTTTTGCTTTCAACCTACTTAGCTTTAAACATAATGTTATATTTGAAGTGAGTTTCTTGTGGAAGGCATATAATTGGGTCCATTTAAAAAAATCATTCAGACAATCTCTGTCTTTTAATCGGTGTGTTTGGGCCATTTACATTCAAGGTAGTTACTGCTATATTGCATTTAGGTCTACCATTTTATTATTTGTTTTCTATGTGTTCTCTTTATTTTTATTCTTTCCTTTTTCTTGGCTGCATTTTTATCATTTGAATTTCTTTTAGCATTCCGTTTTAATTTACCTACTAAGTTTTTGACTAGAGCTTATTGTACAGTTTTTATAGTGGTTGCTCTAGATATTCTCAATATTCATATTTAACATTTCGCTGTCTACGCAGAGTCAGTATTTTACCATTTCAAATGGAATGTAGAAGCCTTGCCAATATCAGTCCTTTCATCCTCCCCATTCATGTTGCAGTTGTCGTATGTATTACTTTGACATACGTTGAACACGCCAGTAGGCAACGTTACAGTGTTTTCCTTTCAAACATCATACACATGTCAAAGAACTTGAGAAGAGTAGTATATTATACTTACCCAGATATTTACCATTTACATGTCTCTTCCTTCACATCTAATAATCAGGTTTCCTCTGGTATCTTTTCCTTTCTACTTAAAGAATGTCATCTAGCACGTCTGCTTGTTATTAATTAATTCATCTGAAAATATCTTAATTTCATCTCAATACTAGGATATTTTCACTGGTTATTGAAATCTGGGTTGACAGTTAGTTTCTTTCGGCACTTTAAATTCTTGTGCCTCTCCTTCTAGTATCCATGGTTTCTTTTGAGAAACCACAGACATTCAAATCATTGTTTCCTTGTATGAAATACATCATTATTCTCTGATTCCTTTTTCTTCTCCAGCTTTATTGAGATAATGACTGACATATAATATTATGTAACTTTAAGACATACAACAGGATGATTTGTTAAACATATATATTGTGGAATGATTATCACAATAAGGTTAGTTAACACCTCCACCACTTCACATAATTACCTTTTTTTTTTGTAGTGAGAACATTTCAGGTTTAAGATTTACTGTCTTAGCAACTTTCAAGCATATAATACAGTATTGTTAACTATTGTCACAATGCTGTACATTACAGCCCAGTACTTATTTACCTTGTAACTGGAAGTTTGTAAACTTTGACTGACATTGTCCCATTTCTCAGACCCTGACAACCACCATAATACTCTCTCTTTCTATGAGTTTGGGTTTTTAGATTCCACAAATAAGTGAGATCATACGGTATTTGTCTTTCTCTGTCTGACTTATGCTACTTAGCGTAATGCCTGTAAGATTCATCCATGTTGTTGCAAACAGCAGGATTTCCTTCTTTTTTATGACTGAATAATATTCCATATATATATATATATTTTGATAATAGCCATTTTACCAAGTGTTGGATGATATCTCTTTGAGGGTTTTATTTGCATTTCCCTGATGATTAGTGATGTTGAGCACCGTTTCTTGTACTTGTTGGTTATTTGTATGTCTTCTTTGTAGAACTGTCTATTCAAGTTGACTGCCATTTTTAAAACTGGATTGTTTGTTTTCCACTATCGTTTTGTATGAATTCCTTGCATATTATTTTATATTATGATATTTTAATACAATATTTTGGATATTAACCTCTTATCAGATATATGGTTTGCAAATATTTTCTCCTATTTGGTAGGTTACCTTTTCATTTTGTTGATTGTTTCTTTTGCTGTGCAGAAGGTTTTTAGTTTGATTTAGTTCTACTTGTTGATTTTTGCTTTTGTTGCTTGTGCTTTTGGTGTCATATCAAAAAATCATTGCCAATACCTATGTCAAGGAGTTTTTCCCCTAAGCTTTTTTTTTTGAGGAAGATTAGCCCTGAGCTAACATCTGCTGCCAATCCTCCTCTTTTTGCTGAGGAAGACTGGCCCTGATCTAACATCTGTGCCCATCTTCCTCTATTTTATACGTGGGACGCCTGCCACAGCATGGCTTGCCAAGTGGTGCCATGTCCGCACCCGGGATCTGAACCAGCGAACCCCGGGTTGCCAAAGCAGAATGTGTGCACTTAACCACTGCACCACCGGGCCAGCCCGTCTCCTATGTTTTCTTCTAGAAGTTTAATGGTTTTGGGTCTTAAATTTAAGTCCTTAATCCATTTCAGGTTAATTTTTGTGACTGGCATAAGATAGGGGTCTAATTTCATTCTTTTCTATATGAATATCCACTTTTCCCAATGCCCTTTGTTGAAGACATTATCCTTTCCCCACTGAGTATTCTTGGCACTATTGTCAATTATTAGCTGACTGTATGTGCATAGGTTTAGTTTGGGTCTCTTGATGCTATTCAAATGGTCTATGTGTCTGTTTTTATGCCAGCATAATAATGTTGTGATTACTATAGATTTGTAATATAGTTTGAAATTAGGAAGTGTGATGCTGTCAGTTTTGTTCTTTCTTAAGATTGCCTTAGCAATTTGGGGTCTTTTGTGGTTCCATATGAATTTTAGGAAATTTTTTTCTGTTTATGTGAAAAATGCAATTAGAATTTTGATAGAGATTGCATTGAATCTGTAGATGGTTTTGGGTAGTATGGACATTTTAACAACATTAACTGTTCTTATCCATGATGACAAGGTATCTTTCCATTTGTTTGTGTCATTTTCAATTTCTTTCATCAATGTC